TTCTAATCTAATAAACTTATTATAGCGACAAGTGTCCCAGTTGAACGAGTTTTTTTGGAGACACAGGCTTAATTACTCAAAGGCGTTGTAGTTTAGATCCTGAAGCAATAAGAATTTGCATGTGTTTAAAAAATTGGCATTTTATATATGAATTGAGAAAAATGGAACGTCGTTAAGGTTTCTATTCGTTATGAGTTTGAGTATTTGAATTACATTGAAAATTTAGTCAAATAAAACGAATAATATTAATATTAATATTGAATAATTCGAATAAAAATTTGCGTAGATAAAATAAAATAAAAACTAAATCATGGTTTCCATTCTAATATTGGTAAGAAATAGACCTTCGCTATCATGGTATAAAAATCATAGACTATGTATGTATTTAGAAACAGGGTCCTTCCAGCATCTCTATTTCGTAACACACATCCGCCAAAATCAAGCTAAATGTTATTATAATTTTTTTGTCAATTATTATGTATATTTTTGCGTAGTTGGCAAATTTAGGATGTCTGAAATTTTTGGGTCAAATGTAACCCGAAAAAACCGAACCAGGCCGAACCGTTCAGGGCTTTATTTCCAGAGATTTTTTGTTATTGCTTTTTAAATAATTCAGGCTTTTTAGTAGTAGCTTATCCAATTGTTAAACTTCAAGAGAACTGCAATTAAAATGCCGCAAGATTGTGGAGAATCATCTTAAATTCCGCAATGTCCGCAATTAACTACATGTTGAAATTATTCGCAATTCCGCAAATATAAAAAGAGCCACCACGGTTAAGATGGATCCTTTTGGTCAGCTAGAACAAAATGAACATACTAAATACTTTACCTAATGGTTGATTTGTGATCTCCAGCCCTTTACAATTCTTATTTTAGAAAATTTATCAATTACTTCTGTCCTCGTTATACTACTCCAGGAGACATCAGATAAAAGGCCTTGTAATTAATGCATTCAATACCAGAAGAACAAAAATCGTTGACGATCTTGACCAAATTGAGGGTAAAATCGGGAGGAATAACTGTACATTAGACTTGAACTGGCATCTCTGTAATTTCCTCCTTGACATCATCCCTTTTACTTAGGATGGGCAAAATGCGAAATCCTTAGTTTATTGTGCGCATAGTAAATTATTGATAATTTTTAAAAAACATCCACCGTAAAATTATCTTCATGATTTTAGCTTAGATGTAATAAAATATATGTTTATTGTTGTGATTAGAATACAAAATTTTATTATAAAAATTACTAACTTAGTAAGTTACATCAGAATCATAAAAATCATAAAAATCTTCATTTCCTTCTTCATTTTCACTACTACTACTGTTACTAAAACATTCACTTTCATTTTCATTTTGATTTTGCATATCATTTTCTATAAATTCAATATTATCCCCATTCATTGAGTCAGAAGAATTGGATAAAATTTTATTGAAAAATCTTTCCACACTGATGTCTTTTGTGGTGTTGCAATTTATAATTACTATAAATATATACCAATTTTAGGACACAATCTGGTGTTAATCGATTTTGTTTCTTAACGCATTTATTTCATAGTTACAATATTTGCATTGTGCACGAGGTTGCTAAAAGCCTGATACTTGACCAAGTTTATTGAAATGAGTCCAAATAGAATTGGTTGGAGGCATTTAAATTTTTATTTCATTTATTATCTATATCATATTTATATTACTAAAATTCTAATGTCTGTCCCTTTTTTGCGATTTGATTGGTCGCTCTATTCACTATGATTTAATGTGTGTAATGCCCAATTTCATTGTATATAACAAACAAATGTCCAACTTCATGTCAATATTTTCTTAGTATTAGTGTTAATGGGTTTACATTTGACTCCCTGTAGTTTACGCCATGTCCCGCGACTAATAATTTTAATATTAATATTGATAAACCAAATACAGACGGACACAAGGACGTACAAAATTGCTATATAATCTAATATTAAGTTCGGGTTATCAAATTATATTAAATTCGGCTTAACAAGATAATTTTATTAATTATGTTTTTAATTATAAAGCGAAAATCGGTTTATGGTGATTCGGCTTACGTATTTATTATTATCAAGAATAATATAAATACCTAGAGACACTACAAGTTCTGCCCTACGCTTTGATTTCAACAATATACATTTATATAAATAATAAAATATACATATCATTCATTACATTTTTTACAAATAAAAAATTGTGTACCTCTCGCTATTAGATAAATAATTAATGTGTACACGTCGATCAAATAACAACTCTTTGAAAAATGTACAAGGAAAGCAAAATAAAAGAAGAGCAGAAAATATCACCAAGTAAATGTTTTAAGAATGATGGGAGTGGTTATCGCCACTCGTCGTCACTCTAGTTAATCATTAAAAAAAGTAGAACGGAATATTGCTGCCCTGAAGCAGGTAGATATTTCAAAGGTGAAAATGATACAAAAATTCTAAAAGAGAGTGGAATCAAATCACCAAAAATGCTAAAAGACATGTTTGTTTGTCTTGGTAATTCAATAGAGTGGGATGAGAATACTATTAGAAAATAGAAGTCATTGGGTGGGTTCATATTTATATCCAATTGTTAAATCATTTCTTGTCTAATATTATTCTTTCTAACAATATTTAGTCATTTTTCCAGAATTACTAATAATGTTATTGAGGTTGGATAATCCCGCTGGTTATATTTGTCTAATCACTAGGTCTCCATTTTATGTAGTTTATATATTTATATATATTTATTTATACTTGAACTGATTTGATTTTAAAATTTTAATAGATAATGGTTGATAAAAATTACAAAAGAATTGTTGAAATATTAAGACAGATGAAAAATAGTGATATTTCAGAAATTTTAGTGTCTCAACATGAAAAACAAGGATGGATAATCAATGTTGATAAATCGTCATTTATTTTGTTAAAATGAGAATCAATATTTCTTACAAATGTTTAAACAACTTGATTAGTGTATAGAAAATTCTTGTATTTTCAATACAAATTAAGAATTATTGAATAAAAATTCAGATTGAATTAGAGTTCTATTCTTTTTTAAAACATGTACTTTACTATGTTCGCGAGGAGTTTGTCCACTATGATCATTTCTAAACTTAGGAAAAATTATTACTAAATTTAGACTAGCTCTTGACTATCGTATCTAAATTTGGCAGTAAGAAAACTAAAATCACGTGAAGTCCCTATTTTTTGAAAAAATTTGAACGAATTACAAAATTGCTATTTTGAAATTTGGCCGCATGGCACAATACTAGGGGGTCTTTAGACCGAGCCAACCATACCAATGTTCACTTTGTCTGGTTTTGTTGCAGCATGCCCCATATTAATATTGTTATTATTTTGTTTGAAAAACAACCCCTATTTTTCTTATAAGTATAGGGACAATATACAAATACTGAATTTTTGGGTCAAAATCTCTTTTTTTGATTATCTCAAAATCATGATTTTGCAATTAGGGCTGCCACACCCAATTATTTCATTAATCGTTCTCTTCAAGTTCTACCACTATTACTGCTAATAAAGAAAATGACAAGGTGAACATTAAAATGAATTGATAATTAACTTTATTTCATATGACAGAATATTTCAATAATTATGCCTTCTATTTTTACAGCTGACTAATACACATGTAATGTCAGAAGTCCATCATCTATCCAATTACAATATCATTAATTTATCAGAATGAAAACTTGGTGACCCTGTAAATCAATATCTTTTATTTGAAGAAAAAGGCAATCTAAAAAAATATGGCTAAGCCTTGAATAGTGATGTCAGCCATTTAAAAATCCTTAGTCAAAGATGTCATTGATTATATATATAAATCTTGATGGCCCAATTGATGAAGTTATGAATAAACTGTACAATGGAAAATTCGACTTTAAAGAACACTACAATTGTATTTAGACACAAGATGTATACAAAAGGTTTCTCACCAGAACAAAATGAACTTTCATATCGAGAAGCCTTTGTTAATCCTATAATTGCAAGATCATTCAATGATGTCGATAGTGATGTTAGCCGGCTAATAATCTGCATACATAATCTTTAAATTTGGTAATAGACTTCTGCGTTACCTTTTGGTTATAGAAATAAAATTACCAATTTAGGTAGTAAATGGCTTAGCTGTCTAAGGATTTTTAAACGGCCAACATCACTAGATATCGATAATATAATAAAATTTAAAACTGGAGAAATTGAAACCCTAACCCAAAAAACACAGAAAAATGGAACAATTAAAAATACAACATGAATTGTATTGGATGCCGTCAATACAGGTCAACGTAAATGCATGTAAAATGGAAATAGCCTTCATGGAAGTTGTAGGCAGTGCAACAGGGTTGGCAAATGTGTGGTACAGATGGATTTTGGACTGTTCTATTGTCATTAATAAAATACTAAATATGGTTAAGGTGTTACACTAATGGACCCAATGGACCACACATTTGCAAACCCTGCAGTGCAATATATGTTGATATTACCAAATTTAATGATAATCTAAATAAAATATTGAATTGTAAGTCAATATGAAGGTTTTGTCATCCTTGAATTTAACAATATAGGGTAATAACATCATTTATAAAATCAATCAATAGCCATATATGCCGGTACATATTATCAAGAGCTATATCACCTGAAATCGCAGTGCAAATGAAGATCAAGTTAAATGTATTGAATCATATGATATCATGGTTTATCGTAAGTGATAATGATTTGATGTCTATTACTGCATGTTAACATTGCTTTAAATTTTATGTTATGCATTATAATGATGATTTATATATTGTGGACAAATTTATAGAATTGAATATTCCCGACTCAGTTGATCACAACTATATGTTTTAAAAGAAGTTGCCATTAAAGTTTATTTATTCAAGGTATAGATTTCAAACTTCCACTTGATATATTTTTAATTTATTCGTTGCTCACAATCTCTAAAAAAAAATTTCACAATAATCATTAAATAATTCATGAATTTCAATTATTTGCCACAAATAATAAATTGACCATGTTAGATGGATTGAACAAAATGGAGGGTTACCTATATTGTAATAATTCTTTACTCTATTAAAAAAAGAAAGAATTATCATTTGTTGTAATAAAAGAAAGAATTCTTTATTTGCTCATTACTTGAAATTATTATTTTATTATTGCTAAAACATTAGTTATGCGTTAGATTATATTGCAGTATGGTCACATGAAAGTCACGGGTGTGCATTTAGAGAGGATGGTTTATATGAATGGGACCAGGAAAAGACCGTGCAGTGTAGAACATAGAGGGAGTGCATTTATCTCTAAGTCCCAAGCTTTGGGACTTGGACACAGGATGCACTTATAGAGGATTGACTGTAAATTATTTAAATATAAAAAGAATAAAATTACTTTTAATTAAATTTGATTATTAAATATAATGAACGAAACACAGATTCAATTCTTGATCATGCACAAAATGTTATTGTTCAAGCAACAAATGCATTATTACAATGACTATTTACATAATCAATTAATTCGTCTTGAACTGTTATCAATTATGCTTAGTAGATTTCTACAATATTTTGATGATAATAGGATTTATTTTATTAATTATTAGAAATTTAACATTCACACTGCATCTAATTGAGCAAAAGCATTTTTTTAAGGAAATGACGTGTAAAAATAAAAAATGCGTGTATCATTAAAAAAACGGAGTGTGCCGTTTTCTTGAAAATTTCTAGCATTTAATTCAAATGATCTTTTGTCAATTTCGGCTTGCCATACAGTGCGGGTTCTCAGATTTAGTGATAACGTCATTTTTAATCATCAATTTTTTTTAGAATTTATCGAGAGCCTCAAAAATCAATTGCTGCACAGATTATGTGTGAAAATCTTTTCTATTTAGTCAGCTATTCTTATGTTTGTTTTCAGTTTAACTAAATTCTTCAAACGCTTGTCTACTGGTGGTAGTTGTATCTCAAATACGCTGAGTAATGGCCGTGTTGCTCATTATACAACACAAGTTAATTGTGAAAAGGGCTTTTTCGATCAGAAACGAGAACTTGTTAAGTTTAAAAATGTATTTAATGCTAATTCACAACTTCATGTTGTTCTAGGCCCTCATAGTAACGGAAAAACTGCATTGATCCACAAGGTAACGAATAAAGGCGATTTCAACTCTCCTTTATCAACTGCCGTAAAGGACAATTTGACACACCAAGGGCAATATATGAATCAATTTCTTCGCAATTCCATCCATTTTTCAAGAGACATACGAAATTCTTGATAAAAAATGCTTCAACAAGGGAAATCAGTGCTGTGACGAACGATTTACTGTTAAAATTTAAGCCATTTAGCGGGGATCCGTTTAGTGAGAAAGAGATTACTTCTAATGATGTCATGAAGTTGCTTGATAATATTGAAAATGCTCTTCCGAAATGGACCTGTTGGGATAGTTATAACATACCTCCACCCATTTTGTTCATTGATGAAGCAAACATGTTTAGCCAACTTGGGAGTTCAAAAGAGGGAGAAGTTCTTCTCAAATCAATTCTGAACTGGGTGGTAGTAAATACAAAAGAAAAAAGACGATTTCATGTGGTGCTTACCTCTTCCGATTCATTTTTTTTTAACTGGATCGTAAAACGTAAGTCAATTTTATATTTGGTTGCAATGCAAAGAAAGGTCTACCATTCTCTAATCTACATTTGTTGCCCAATAGTTTTGCATATCCCACATGCAACCCCGTATGTTGTTGGAGATTTGAGTAGGGAAGAAGCTGAAGAATATTTTTTGAAATGCATGTCCTTCATCAATATGGTATGACTTTTACTGAACTCATATTATTTATACGTACTGAGTGCTCACATGATGGTATTCTTTGTTTAAAAAAGAGTGCAAAGAGCTCAGAGGTAAATTTGACCGCATTCACAGAATGACAGGTACACGAATACTCATTATTGATATGTATGTCAAAGAATACAAAAATTTCGAAGGAAAGCTTGAAGATATATCTTCTTTTAAAAAATGAGCATCTTTGTTAACTTAAAAAAATATATTTTACAGATTATGACTTTTCAGTTTACGAATCAGAATATAATAGATTGATATGTGGTATTTATCCTGAGGCCTTGATAGCCTTATCCACCATCCTGGGAAACATCAAATTTAATCACGACTATGGAAACAATAGTGAAGGCAGAGGATCAAGGATTCGTTTTAGAAAATGACTTGATTGAAGCAATTGGTCCTGATCAAGTTAATTCACTTATAGATCATAATTATTTGCACCGTCGACCAACCAGGCGATTTGCCAACGACATCATTGGTCCACCGGCTGGAGAAGTGATTCTTACTGCGATGAACCAGCCATCAGTGCGCGCAATGGAACGCATCCTATCTAAGGTTTCTTCAAGAAAAAAATAATCACCATTATTTACAATGTTTCTCTTCGCATCAAAAGATTTAAATAGTATAATGATTTTTTACTTTTTCACCATGCTAAATTTTTAAAAAAATTTCCAATACATCACTCATGTATATAATAAGCTGGTAAAATCAAAATAAACTTGCATTACTTGCGAAATACTTTATTTTTGAGTATAAATGACAAATCTGATCCAAGTTTTGATTTCTTGATGGATTATATGCTTAGTACTCTAGGTTTAGTTTTAGTTTAAGGAATTCTACATAATTATATATTTAATTTGCTATGTTACTTAGGTGATACACTTTGAAGCTGCAACTCTAGGTCACAGGTGCTTAGTATGTATTCATTCCCACCAGCGTCGATAACAAATCTTTACTGATGAAGACTACTGATAAAATAAAAAGCATTTTTGGGTGAAAATAAGATGAAAATTGATAAATGTTTCATGCCATTTATATAAAATTTAATAAATTAAAAAATTACAATTAAATTAATATATATCTCTATAATAACTATAATAAATTAATTATTATTATATTATTTTTCTTTTCTATAAATAAAAAATAAATAAAATCCTACTAATAATACATTGCTGATTAAATGATATTTATTCCATGTTTGAGGAGGCATCCATTATCTGTTTATATAACTCCTCGATAATTTTTGCATACCCTTGTACTTTTTTAAGATATAGAGTAGATATTGAATTCTATTTTATTTTGTGAAAATATATATATTAATATCATTTAGAATTTCAAATAATCGAATATATATATATATATAAATAACATACTTCAATTCTTGTTATTAAACTTTCCACAATCCTTAATAATTCTTCATCGTCTGCAATATCTTTAACATGAAATGTTAACAATCCTGTTAGATAATCTGTACGCGAATTACGACTACTTCTTTGGTTCATAGTGCCTGATGAAACACGTTCAAGACGAAGACATAAATAACCAAGTGAGCGTACTAATGTTGGATCTAGTATTTGTGCTGTTGGATCAATAATCTTCTTTTAAATTTTTATAAATGGAGAATTATTAATTAATTACACATGTATATATTATCAAATAATTAATTAGTTAAAAAATTTTCAATTAAATAAATACCTCTTGCACTATAGAATGCCGATCTTTAGATTTATCTTCTTCCATTCTGCCTTTTAATGCATCTGGATAAACCTATCAATGTGTAAATATATATATAATAATTAATCATTAAATTTAATTTCAAACATTTTAATTTTTTTTATATAAAAATAATCAAGTACCAATGAAAGCTGTTCCGGATTCTCTAAACCTTTAAGTTTAATTTCTCCTATTTGTTGAACAACAAATCCCATTTTTCTTAATGCAATAAGATTTTTATCAACGATAACAGTTGTATCTGCAACTTTTATAACATTCCCTGGAATCATTTCTCCATTTCCTTCATTGTTTGGATCATGTTTATTAATCAAGCCTCCCAATAGTCTTATCTCTGACACTATATCTGAACTAACACAGATCTGCCCTCCATCAGCTGCATTACATATTCTAGCGGCTCTATTAACCATTGGCCCGTAATAATCCATTCTTTTTGTTACAACGTCAATTTCACACAACGGTGTCCCCCAATGAATACCCATACGAACCGATAACCCTCTATATATCATATCATTATCCCTACCGCCATAAATTTCCTTACCATCATCTAAATCAATGATTTCCTGTGGCCAATCAACTTCAAGAAGTTGAACTTGCACCGTTAAACACCAAAGGAGTGCTGATGTCACTGTTGGAAAAGATACCATAAAAGCATCTCCTTCTGTCTTTACTTCATACCCACCAATATTACGTAAAAGACGTCGCATTATTGTGTTATGTTGTTTAATTGCATGACGCATTGCTACAGGTACGGTTTCCCATAAAAAAGTTGAATTTTTAATATCAGTGAACACCAATGCAACTTGTCCTGTAGGCGGTGTAATTTCCTTTTGTAATCTCGCCATCATAGAATCACTAGGAATTTCTTCTTTTCTTATTCGTTTCTTACTAGTGCCAAAGAAAAATGTTGTGCCTACTTCCTCTGCAATTTGTAAAATTCCTCTTTTAGTATTTAAGTCTCCTGCCATTGTATATCTTTTTAATCTCTGATCAAACATATCTCCTACACCAATTATCATCACCATTAATTTTTTTTCTGATCCGTATGTAATAGCAAAATCACGCAATTTTTGTGCTGCAAGCATCAAGTCCTCTTTTTCAGTTCTTGCAATATCTACTGCTGTTTGATAACTCATATGATCCCATAAACCTTTGGTTGCTAATATGACAAATTCATCTTGCTCTGAAAGCTCTACCAATTCAATTACTGGATCGGAATTTATAATTGGCATCAAATGGAAATGCCCAAATGACCTGGAAACTTCAATTTCTCCATTAACCAGAAAATCATGAGACAAAAACCCACCAGCATCTCTTATTCTTTGAAACTCATTTGGACTATTTGGATTTTCACAACATGCAATAGCATGTGCATTGCCATCATTACGACTAATGACTGCAGTAGTATCTCCGGCACTTGCAACATATAATTTTGTTCCTGAAATATATGCAATTAAACCAGATGCACCTGACTTATTATCATCAATTTGTAATGACGATGTACGGTTATTTTCTTTTTCCATAGTATATTCAGCCTCCATACTTGAATTGAAGACTTTTGATCCAAGTTCTTTATTCAAACTTAAAAAGGTTCTTCTTATAGCTGATTCAACTGTTTCGTTATCTTTAAGCTTCTCAAGTTCTGCCTTGAAATGATACGGAAGCCAGTCATGAAGATATTTGGTAACAGGATCACTTCGATCTGTTCCATATCTACCATCAAAAATTCCAAATAAACATTCATCATCACGACCACGAAACTTTGGAATGACAGTTTCCCATATTGAAAGATGATGATCATGTGGACCTAATCTATCTGCCATTCCATATGACATTGAATTAACTTCAGAAGATGAAGTACGGACACGACGATCGTCGCTCTCATCAGGAACCATTAAATTTAAAAGAGTAACATCCATAAGACCCAAAACTTGTAACCGAGTTAATGCATTGAAATCTGCTAGGTTTCTTTCCTTTATAGGATTTATTTCACTGAGATGAACTTGTTTGATTTCAAATCTTTTATTACCAGATAAATTTAAATATTTTAAATCAAAATTCCAATTCCTATTATTATTATTTTTAAAAAAATTTTTTTTTTAAAGAAAGAATTATAATCACTCATTCATTTAATTTATTATAGATTCATAAACGTAAATATATAAAATATATAAATATACATTACATATTAACTTACCAATTCCAATCATACTGCCAATTTGCAATATTATATTTTAAAGAATTATTACCAACATCCAACACAATTAATTTTCTTATTTTACTTAATTCAGCTGGTAATGTTTGTAATTTATTACCATTCAAATGTAAAACCATTAAACCTGATAATCTTTCAATCTCATCAGGAAGGGATGACAATTGATTTCCAGAAAGATACAATTCAGTCAAATGAGGATTTGTAATGCCTCCATTTGGTATTTCGTCCAAACTATTAAAAGAAAGATTTAAAACTCTAAGTTCTGTAAAATAAGAAATAGATGTAGATACATCCGAAGTTAATCTATTATCACCCAGATACAAATTCTGTAAAGAGCTACACAGTGGGTATTGGTGTGAACGTGATGATGTTAATTGAGAAGATTCAGAACTGGAAAAAGATTTCGGTGATGGTAATGGTGGTAGTAGTGGTGGCGGAGGAGGTGATGGAAATTGTTCAAGAAGATTTGAACTTGCATTCAAGGTTCTTAAATTCAAACAAAGCCAAATTTCTTTTGGAAGTGAATTAAGATTATTATAATGAACATCTAAAACTTGTAAGGCTTTCATAGAACTGATATCACTTGGTAGCTCAGATAAAATATTATATGCACATAGTAGATGCGTTAATTTTGTCAATAGACAGATTTTTTTTGGCAATGTCACAAATTGATTGTTACTGATATCCAGCTTTTCTATCAAAGGAAGACTTTCAAAAATTTCATCATGCAAGGTTGTTAATTTTGAGCGTGACAATAACAATTCAGTTAAACAAGTTCCAGCGGATGTAAGCCAAAATTGAGTAAGACGATTTTTTGAAAGCATGAGTCGTTTTAAAGAATTTGATGATGAATTTATCGTGCTCACTTTATTGGATTCTGCAAGAAGACATTCAAGATTTGGAACAGATGAAAGAATGTCAATATTGTGAAGCTGATTGTTACGCACGTCTAATTCTTTAAGAGAAACCAAAAACATAAAATTTTCTGGCAGTGGACCGGATAATTGATTCCCAATCAAAAATAACCTTTTAAGATTTGAAAGTTTCCCTATATCTTCAGGTATTGTTACGATCTTGTTAAAGCTAAGATCAAGCTCAGAAAGAGTGAAGATCTTACAGATGATGACTGGAAATTCTACAAAAGAATTATTAGCTATATTTAATACACTTAAACTATTAAATTTAGTGAAATAATCTGGCAAATGTTGAAGCTTATTGTTCTCAACTTTTAGGATTGTTAATCCACCAATTGCGCTCAACTGTATATGGTCAATGTCACACAAGTTGTTTGAACTTAAATTAAGGTTTGAAAGCATAAATGATTGCTTTACTGATTGTGGTACACGATCTAACTCATTACCAAAAAGCCGAAGTTCACGTAGTTGAGTACACGATTGTATGAAATCTGTTGGAAGATCTAACATTAGATTCTGAGAAACATCAAGTACTTGAATGTAATAAGCATATTTATGAAGGAATATAGGAATAGTTTGTAAATTTCGAGCTCGAAGATCTACATGTTGAAAATTCAATAATGATGCATCCTCCTATAAATTTTATTTTATTTTATTTTATTTTTTAAGAATATAAATATCATTATTAAAAATAATTAACTTTTAAACATTCCTAC